CAATCGAACTTAACTGATGCTAAGTGGTTATTGCAGTTCATGGATACCTCCGGACAACTTCGAACAAAGGACGCTACGGTTACGTTGTCACCTCTGAGAACTAATATGGTATGCCTCCCAACCTGTAATTATACAGGTTCTATATGCCCCTCGGATTAGAACACAGCAGTGCCAGCACTGGCGACAGCAATAGGGTATTTTTGGAATAAGGGTGAAAAACCAGAACACAGTCGATAATCGATATTTTTAAATAGAATCGATATATATCGCGTGATAAATATCGATATATCGGCATCATTTACATATTGAAAGGAATAAGGCCCAAAATTTAACATTACTGACAGTTGGACGACGAAAAAAAAATGACAACCACACGTTTCGTTGTTTCATGTTTTGCCCATTAATACATAATTTTATAATATATCGAAATTATACGAATTTGATACTCTAAACTTAAAATTTTGTCCAAGCCTAACACAGTCCACCTGATAGTAAGTAGATGCTGTGGCTCATAGGCATCTACATTTATCCTCGATGAAGAATCAAAATACAAATGCGTTGTCACCTAAGAGCACTAAGATAGAATGCCTCGTTTCCAGTAAAAAGTGTCTCTGGTTCATTATACTCACCGTACGAAACACAGCATCTTTAAACTGCCATTTTATCCGCTATTCTGTGAGGGCGTGGTACCCCGGTCGAGCCGACCCATTGGCAGGCGTGTCACTTTGTAAAAATCTGAGGTATGGAAAATGGTGGCGCGATTTTCAAATTTGTTCGCATTACTCGTGGGGTATTAAGGTTTAAGAGTTTGCAGTGTATATACTCAACTTATTTATTGAACTATAAGATGTGGGGTATTGAGGTTTAAGGGCTTGCGATTTATTTATATGGGGTTTGTAGTAATATGCGATTTATTTCCTAATTTCAGCTATGGAATTCCATACCTTGAAAAACTTGAGGTATGGAGTGCTCCATACCTTCCATAGTGGAAGTGACACCCCTGCCCATTGGTGCTACAACCATAATATAGCTGCAGCATGGCTCTGCCACGATGAAAGGTAAGAGATTGGTACATACCCAGACAGATTCTTAGGCAAAAAAAGAATTCCACTACCTATTATTAGTTGGTTTATTGATGGATGACACGCAAAAATAAAGAATAAAACTCTTTTTTCTTCTATAGGAATAAATGATGCACTTGAATTGTAGCGAACAATACGCTAGTCTGCTTCTTACATACGAATAATAGACAATGGACATTCCGGCATTTCATCTGTTATTACAGAGCATTCTTTGTTCATTGTGGAAGTGCTGAAAGCAGTAATTTCAAAACGATCTCACTTATAATTAAGATTCCTTTCATAAATGCTTACTATACGTGTTAAAAGATTGTTAATGCAATTAACGTTTATTCTTAAAAATCGTAACCGTATAAAACTTACCATAATAACCTATTAAAAATATAAATATTTTAACAAATGCGTTTAGTGCAGTGGTCCTTAACCGGTGGTCCGTGGACCACTGGTGGTCCCTAAAGGCACCTGAAGTTAACCGCGAAGGCATGATACGATTCTCTTACATATAGAAAAGTATCAAAAATTTCTTAAGATGATAGTCAATATACAGATACTGCCGATACGGTTTCTGTATGATGTGTTGTTACCGTTGAATTATATATTACTAGCGTAAGGACCAGTCCAACCGCACAACTAAACAGCCCAAATGCGTTGGCCCTAAAATATGACAGTTTAGGGCCAACGCGACTTTAATTAACGCCAGGGTTGGAGTCAGACTCTTCAAATGTTGTAGATCGAAAATAAAATTATACTTACTATTTTCCAAAATTATACCACGTTTGACGTTTCATGTCTTTTTCCCATGCGCTGGGGTTTTTGCGTCACGCGTCGAGCGTATCTGTACGTTTCATTTTTCGGCGTCTTTGTTTTGAATGGAAATGAAATTGCATTACGATATCATGTTCATAGGAAATTAAAAAATATTAATATGAACATGATATCGTCTTTGTCAGAACGACCGAGATCGGAAAACATCACATGAATAATTCCCGCCTACCCTGTCGTTGACTGATTTGGTGTTGCCGAACATACAGAAATTATAAAAAGTATAGGATAAATATTAAAAAGTAAAAGGACCACCAATAATACAACTCGGTCGACTTGAAGATAAAATAATGGTATTTTCGAGTAGTATAGTGGCATAGTACAATATAAAATTAAGCACCAAGGTAAGAGTGAAACACCGTAATATGAGGAACTAAATTAATCTCTGGGGTTGTTTCACCGCTAATTAGTGAAACAGTATTATTGAGAAATAAATGTATTTTTATTTTTATTTTTTTTTTTTTTATTTATTACGATACTACATACTGCACCCTTTGTATAGTTATTATACTTGAAATCTAGCGCTGGTTACGTCGTCGACCAATGCAATGCGGCTCTCATGTAGTTCCGTCTGTTTTATGACAGATGATGCTACTTTGCTTGTACGAAGAAGGTATAAGTAAAATATTTAGATGGGCGTATCCTTTCTTTAGAAATCATTGGTTGTTATATTATAACGTGTGTGTTTTATACATAGAACAAACTTTAAAATCAAACATTCTATTAAATTATATCTAAATGTTGGTGGTCTATGGCAAGATAAAATCGATTAATTGGTCCCTCATTAATAAAAGGTTAAGAACCGGTTTTTAGTGAATTTGTAAATAGAACTAATTAAATGACATTAGCTTGAACGTGATTCTTTCTTCGATTTTGATAACTCTATCAACATACCCTTTGTTTACTAGTGACAAAATACACAGTAATTCAATTGCATTTCCATTTAGGCTTAAAAATAGACAAATCCATCCGGGATTAGAAAAGTCATATCACCAAATATATTTAATTAATTTCGAACATTGTATCCATAACCAGCCCTGTTTCATTTTTAAGCCCTGAGCCTGATCTAATAGATCTTTACTAATAAAAGAATTTTGCATAGATTGTTATTATTAAAAATCTGAGTTCAAAGAGTATATAATCAGTATATTTTAATAAAGATAATAAAGCAGACTGTCATTACTAAACAACTGTTGCATTCAAGTCCAAGTTCATAATGAAGGCGACGAGGAAATGACTCTGGAGGATGGTGTTAAATTCTTTATAAAATGAATATTACAAATGTAAATTAATTCAGTGTAAAAGAAAAATTGTCAACAGGGCTGATAAGATTTTATACGTAATGCGTGAACACGAATGCGAATGATTTGTTAACAAAACAAATAATTTCAGACAAAATTCTGCTTTATAAAAATGGGACTGACATATCGCTTTGCATTACGCACTCAAATGAAATGCAAAATATAAATTTTGAATTATTAATTGAATTATGATTATTATTATATTGAATTATTATAAAAATTAGAATTTTCATTATATATTCGACGTGTAGTGGCGGCGTAACAGAATCCGGTGTCTACAACTAGATAGCGTCCCGTGGTTGTCGTGAGAGGCGAAAGGGTGAAATTGAAACTGGTTAGCAAATTTTTTCTGATAACAAATAAAAATTATAAAAATGTATGTCTGCGAAGCGTGGCAACTATGGTAAATATCCTTCCTGTGAGGCAATCTATGAAACAAAAGATTATGGTCCTCAGTAGACTTTAATAGGTTATAATGATGATGATTTGTCTTAAAAACAATTTTTTTATAGAATAAGAGTGACAAACGGTTGCTGTGGCCCATAGACATCTACATCTTCGTTTGCGAATTAAAATGTAGATGTGTTGTCAGCCGTAAGGACTAAGATAGTATGCCTCTTTTCCAGTAAAAAGGGTCTCCGGTTCTCTACACTCACCATACGAAACACAGCAGCATTAAGCTGCTATTATACGCCGGTATTCTGTGAGAGCGTGGTCCTTCCCCGATCGAGCCGACCCATTCGTGCTACAACTATACTATTATAGCTGCAGCATGGCTCTACCACGTTATAAAAATGTATATTAATATACTAGCTGTTCCCCGCGACTTCGCCCGTGTGGAGTTATTTTTCGCGGAACCCTAAAATAAAAGCAGCCTAAGTTACTCCTTATAACATCAGCTATCTGTCAGTGTGTATAAATATTGACAAAGATTGACATTAATACTTATAAGATACTAACGTCACTCAATGAGGGCATCCACAACTTTTTCTGCCACCAGGGCGGCGCCACTTTACAGTGAGGTAAAATATTTGACAGATTTCATAGCGGGCACGATAATTTCTTAGGAAAATGTAATATTTAAGGTTTCTTTTCGTATTGTTAGTTATATTTTTTTATTAATTACATTAGAAATAAATAAACTAAACTATAAATATAACTTAAAGTAGATAAATTTAAAAAAAGAGTTATAAAGTGCAAAAAATTAATAATCAAACCACTGACGCATTTTGTTGTATATTAATATAATACTCTAGATAATGATAAACTATTATTTAAAACTAATTTCTTAATTAACTGACACTATGTAACGAAAAACTTTACCTCAGTCACAACAAGCGACATCTGGTGAGTGGAAGATTATTAGCCCTCATTGTATTGCCTTCACGAAATCCCTCCACTAACACTTAAACTTTATGGTATGGTATTAAAGTTCAAATTAACTTTTAAGTATTATTACGAATCTTTTGTATGGGAATTTAGAAAAGTGTTCTTTTTAGACTTTTTCAGATTTTTTTTAAAATTTTTCACTTCGTAAGAACCATCTTCGTACTTCAAGGAATATTATAAAAAAGAATTAGCGAAATCGGTTCATCTGCTCTCGAGATTTGCGCTTAGCAATACATTCAGCGATTCAGTTTTATATTATAGATATATTTAATTAATAATAATCTCAAAATGGCAATGTTCACTGCCGATTTCTCACGCCAGATGGCGTATCATCGACATGGCCATTGAGAACTGTCAGATCCATACGTTTCATAACCTAGCATATTGTTAATTTTAGTTTTCTCGAAATATGCCTCTTTGTGCTGTACCAGGATGCGCTAACCCCGGTGTACATTTATTTCCCAAAGATCCAACATTAAAAAAAAAGTGGGAAAAGGCTATAAGACGCAAAAATTTTGTAGCGACACAGCATAGCAGGTTATGTCGGAATCATTTCCAAGAATCTGATTATGTAGGAGAATCAGCCTACACAGGTGTGTTATTTCATTCATTATTATTAATTATAGATTCTACTAGTGGTTTTTCGAAAGTTGAACCACTTGCCCAAAGCCCACTTATATAGGTAGATACTGTAGTTTTTTGTTTAAGTTTTTGTGAACGAAATCCCGGGTAAAGGCTAGGAAGTAAATAAACCAATAATGAACCAATAAAATAAATAATGTATGTAATATATGCCTCCATACATCGGATTATGGTGTTAAATTCATAAAATCTATTTTACTCATGTACAGTAAAGTTATTTGTATTAATCTGTACTATTTTTCTCAATTTTTGTTGTTTACAGGACATCCTCAAATATGCAAGTTTCTGAAAAAGGGAACTGTACCAAGTATATTCCCTTGGTCCACCCAGGTGTCAACAACACCTACATCAAGAACCAGTCGTTATATGAAAAGAAGCAGACGCATACTTGATTTTATACAACCATCTGTAGAAGAAAGTGTTCCAGAACCGTCTTCTAGTGCTGAAATTGAAATATCTACTATAGAGGGCCCCATAGAAGATTTTACGCCAAAAACAGTGTCTGTTAGCACTCAATGTGGTAGTTCTTTTGGAATCTTATCACTAGAGGCCATGAGAGGCAATCCACAGGCTATTCATTTTTATACTGGGCTAGAAAAATATGAAAAATTTATGTTGGTGTTAGACACATTAAGTCCCATGTGTAATAATTTAAATTACAGGGGAAGTAAAGTTATCAATGTTTGTATCGGTGACCAACTGTTGATAACACTAATAAAGCTTAGAAGGTATATGCCAGATTTTGAGTTGGCATTTTTATTTGGTATTTCCCAAACTACTGTTGCTAACATTTTTGTAACATGGATTAATTTTATGTATGAAATATGGTCTTTAATTAATATTTGGCCAAGTAAAGAATTGGTTCAATATTATATGCCAGAGTCGTTTAAAAGGGGTTTTCCAAATACTAGGATTATTGTGGACACAACTGAAATACCCATCACACGGCCTGGGAATCCAGTAGCACAGCAGGTGACCTTCAGCAGTTACAAACATCAAAACACTGTGAAGGCTATGATTGGAGCAACACCTGGAGGTCTTATATCATATGTCTCTGAATGTTATGGAGGTTCAGTCAGTGATAGACAGATTATAGAAAGATCCAAACTAATAAATATGTGTGACAGTGGGGATTCTATTATGGCAGACAGAGGCTTTAATGTGCAGGACATTTTTGCATCAAGAGACATTACTATTAATATACCAATGTTTTTGAAAGGAAAAACACAATTACCAGGTGTTAGAATAATTCAGGACAGAAAACTAGCAAGCAAACGAGTTCATATAGAACGTATTATAGGTCTAGCTAAATCATATAAGATTTTAAAAAGTGAATTGAGCCCTTATTATGTACCACTAGCATCTAGAATTTTATTTGTTTGTGCTATGGCTTGTAATTTTAGAGAAAGTATCATGAAATAAAAAGCTTTTTTATAACTGTTCATATAGTTTATTATAAAATCTTAAAAAACAATATAAACACGCTTGTTATCCAGAGGGGTAAACAGAGACTACGGACTTCCATTTAACACAATCCTGACACACCTCTCTCTCGCCTCCTTTACATCCATATACATACAGTCATACATGCTCGTTGGTTAAGGGTTCTGTTAATCTGGCCCATTTTCAATTTATTTCCAATTTGGTCGATAAACCTTAGTCTAGGGCATCCCTTCCCGACTCTGCTGTTCACATCTGTTATATAAATTTGCTTTGTCACTCTTTCCTTGTTCATTCTTTCCACACGACCAAACCACCAAAGAATTTCTTTCTTAATCCTGTTCACAACATCACATTTTAAAACACACTTTTCTCTTATCACACAATTTCTCACCCTCTCATTCAGATTCAGCCCTAGCATATTATAAAATCTTAATCCTTAAAAAAATATTTGTTGGTTACAGCATTTTTAAAGAAGTTGTAATAAAAATAATCAAGTTTTCTCAACATATCCGTAATGAACTGTTCATCACGTTCAATAAATATTACTTTTAAACTTTTATAGGTAAAAACTAATAAATTACAAAATTTTCTTTTTGTTACATATAATTGCCCTTGAATTTGATAGTAATAAATATTAGTTTTTTTTAAAGTAAGTTGTCCATTGTAATCAAATTGTAGGTAAGGTACTGTAAGAGGACCGATTTCTTGGTTTCTGGAAGCATAAGGGCATTTTACTTCAATTATTGTTTCCGATCCTAGTAAGCCATCTGGAGATGCTCCTAGATAAGGTCGTTCCTGAGACAAAAATAATCCACACTCTTCAACAACCACCCCATAAATCTCCATATATTTTTTAATGGCTACTTTTTCATTAATCATCCCGTGTGCCATCGCTCTTGTTTGGACTAGATTTTTATTTAATATTTGGTTACAATATTTTACTAAAGTTTCACTTCTCAAATGGCACACAGTGTGAAATATACTTGATGTGATGTGCGTTTGTCGATACTCATGCCACTTTGGATTGAAACTTTGTCCTCTAGTCTCCAGTTCGATTTCCACTAATCTTTCTTCAGTTAAATTTTGTAAATTAATGGATTCTAAAAAAACATCCTGTGCACTTTTTTCCATATATTTATGATCTAAACATATTGCTCGTTGGTTAGCTGCTGGAAATAATTGTTTAAGGGGCATCGATGAGAGTGGATAATTTAAAATCAGGGACTGAAACCTGCATTGGAATGCCTTTTTATCAAAATAAGGGTTTTGTTTTAAATATGGAGAGTAAACAATGTTATGTAAATCCCTTTTGGATGGCAATCTGGAGGCTCGCAATGGTGTGGCATAATATTTTTTTGTAGGCTTATGAAACGTTTGAAGTTGTGATGTCGTAACTTCATGTAGCAGTATTATTTTTTCCTTAACAATATTTTCAGCAGCAATAAGTACCACAGCTACATGTTTACAATGGGCTTCTTTGCCTTCTCCTGCTGCACATTCACATGTTGCTTCTTCAGGCATTCCATCATTATTTAATTTGATGTTTACCTCATATTGTAGTTGTTTCATAGATGCCTTGCAAAAACCTGGAAGAAGTATTTATATGTTCATATTTAAAAGAAAGACAAATATATTACACATCAACTTTAACCACCTAACCATCTATTTATTTTTGAGACATCAACCTTCATTTTCTGGTGAACCTACCTTTTAAGTATGTATCTTGATTCATACAATTTTACTGCATCACTGATATTTTTATTGAATCTGAAATAAAAAGTATTATGTTAAATATCAAGAGAAAGGATATAACCACTATTTAATAAACTTAGTGGACAAATAATCTTTAATATTTACAAAAACGTTAGAAACAATTATTACCTACCTATCAAAATAACTTTGAATATGTTTTTTGGTAATCTTTGGCAATATCGTGCAGCTATTAACGTCCTGGTAAAGTTCCACAGCAGGAACATCAATTGCTTGACTTTGAGAAGCTACAGGGCTTTGATTGCCGAAATTAAAATTTCGGTCATATGATTCTAACCTAAAAGCAAAAAATACCATTTATGATTTGAGTAATGTTCTCTAAATTTTCCTAACATTGATCAAGAAATAATTAACACGTTCCAAACAAAACTAGCTCCAAATCCTTAACTTGTATATATATGTCTACAGGTGTATAATATTTTAGTAGATACAAGCCTACCTCTCAACAAGATCTGATTTCTTTCCAGTTATCTTCGCTCCTCGTTTTTTTAGTTCGTCTTTCAATTCTTTAAGCTTCCAGGTACAATACATCTTAAAATGATCGATGGTCAACCAGTTTCAATACAAAGAAAAGCAAAATCTCCTCATGTAAACTAATCTACAACAATTTGACAGCAGCCATGGCGCCGCTGGTGCCCTCTACGATTAGCTTTGCGTGTGGATCCCCATTGCGGCGCCTCTTAACAAAGAGTATATAACTTTGCTCATTATAGTGTCATGAAAATTGACTATTAACAAGTTTAATGGTTATTAAATGTTTAATAAAAAACCTAACTGCGTAAAAAACACTAATAAAATCTATTATTTCATTATATAAAAAAAAAATTATTACAGCTTTATTTTAAGTTTTGTTAATTTAAGTAAGAATGGTTGCTAACTAACTTTAAATCCTTATAGATCCTAAATGGTCATTCAAAATGAAAAATAATTAGAGAAACCTAACCTTCATTTTTTTTCTCTTTCACAATATGGCGCCGCATAAAAATTAAAGTTGTTAATTAATTTTATTCTCATATTATATTTATGTGTTACTTAGTATATTAGATTTCAGAATAAAATTCCAGATAAGATTGAACTAAAATAGATCGAAGGAGAACCGTGTGAAAAAGTCGACTTCATTATATCGTCACACCCTCTAAAAATGTGGATCAAATTCCTAACACTTTTCAATTTACGTGCTTTTAGGGTAATTTGCATTCTTTCAACATGAAGGTATGTCAAGCGTTATTGAATTATTGTTTATAAGCAGTCGCGTTTTATTTAGCGCTTTTTCTTAAACATCCTGTGGCAATATTCCCTTGGAGGATTGCAACCCTGCTGGCATTGTCTAGAAATTAGTGTCCGAACGAAACAGGATTTTCAACCGAAACCGAAACCGAAAACGAACCTTCGGTCTGGGTGTCAGTATCGGCCGAAATCGAAACCGAAACCGAAACTTATTTAGACATGTTAATTTTTTTATTTTATACTAAAATCTGGTATATTTTTATACATATATACAGATAAGTGATGCATGTTAATGAAAAACAGTTACTGTAATAGTCATGTAGCAATATATTTATTTATTTTAAAGTAAAAATCAACAATTTAACGTTAAGAAACACTTTTTTTAAGTAAATTTTGTAGAAAAAGCAACATGAAAAGTTACTCGCTAATTGAGAACATATTTTATTGAGTTCACAATATTGTTTTATTATTCAATGAGAGCATTAACTTAATATATCACACTCACACACACACAATATACACACAACAAATCCCAGAAAATATACAAAACCTGCTCAAAATTCAAAAACTTTAATAAACTAAGTTTGTATAAAAATGGTTATTATAATGTTTAGGAATTTATGGATGATAATAACCCCTGGGAATGAGGTGATCACTACCAAGCTATTTCTAATTTGTTTTATGTTGTTAATTGTGTTATACATGATGACGAGGCCCCCTCAAATGCAATGCCCACAGACTTTACCACAGATGACTAATTAATTTGATCACTTTTAAAGAAAAAGAAAGTCACAAATTTAAGTGAATTTGTTTGGGGCCTCGCAAGAAGCCCCTCTTAAATGCGACTGCGAGGCCGTTGTAACTACCTTCAAAGATCGCGATAGTTACAGTAACGGAATACGAGACTTGTCAGGAATTAATAGATATGAATAAGTACGTATTTCGTGTCAATTCATGTTTGGTAAGATAGATCTATTGGGTAGATCCTTGGAACGAGAAAAAAGGGGCCTCGCTGATTCAACTTTGTCCACGTTTATATAAGTTCACGCTACGCCTCTGATTATAAGATGTTATTTAAAAAAAAGTCGCACTGAGTTTCTTGCTGGTTCTTCCAAGGACAGAGGCTTTTTTTTCGAACCAGTGGTAATTAAACAAAATATTGACTTTCAATAAGTATTATTTACAATCTATATTGAATTAAAAAGTTTCTGTTTTTGTTTTTGTGTATAATTATGAATAATACACAAGTCACGAACTCATCCGAAAGACGTACAATAATCCACGAACACTGAGTTTCGGCGCCGCCGAGGGTTCGGAAGATTTTTTGCCGAAACCGAAACATGGCAATTTTTAATGATATCAGACCAGTTCATTAAAATTTCCGCTCAAAATTTGTCGCATAGTGTCTTTTTAAAGATTTAAGCGTTTTATGAATGAAACGAAATGGTTAGAAATTGAATGAATTGCGGCATAAAACACTACTTCTACTTCTCCGATTTGGCTCCGATGTGTGCGATAGAAATAATATCGATAAAAAATATTAGAGAATAATAAATTTTACATGGTACGATACTAGTATTGAACTATAAGAACGGAAACCCACTGAGAAAATATATCGACATTCGACAGTCGTCCATTTAACTACTCGGGAGACATCCATCCCGTCCTATCAGACAACACTCCAGCGCGGCATATTTCTTAGGCTATATAAATGAATAGTGATATAGGGTCCACTGAGGTGACAATAACGCGTATATTTCTCTAGAAGTGGCAAATGTGTACAAAATAGCATTTCAGTAAAAAAAAATTCTAAATGTCAATAGCGATGTTTATTAAATTTCCATGACCCTTATCAGCCTGTAAATGTCCTTTGCATTACTCATGCTATTCCTAATCAGAGAAGATTCGCCAAAATTAACTTAATAAGCAAATTGTTTTTGCATTGATTGTTTACTATTATTGCAATTATTAAATATCATTCG